AAACAAGGTAGTTTCATCGATGTCCCCCTTTTTAGTCACAGCACTTCGTCGACTACAGACGGGTAAAGACGATTGGTGGACGAGGCGGCGACGGCATGATTGCCTTTCTGCGACTGTTCTGCGTACCAAAGGCCGGTCCATGCGGCGGTGATGGCGGTAACGGCGGTCACGTCATATTCCAAGGTATAACTTTTGGACTAACGAAACTTTGCAATGTACTGTAGTTCAGTCCGTAGCCGACGCAAAGGTTAAGTCTTTGGCACACCTGCATTCCGTTCTTCATGCGAAGGACGGTGAAAACGGGAAGAGCAAAAGCTGCCACGGTAAGAGCGCTGATCATCTATACATTAAGGTACTTCCTTTGAGTTTTTTGTTCATAAATTTGTATTCGTACTTATTCATTCATCCATTCATCCATGACCATGAACAACTTTTACTTGAATTATTTACACTTAAGTTTCTGTTTCCTCCTGATTTGGCTGATGACGGTTGAAAACTTCATCCGAAACCTTTCGATCAAAACAGGAGTATGTCCTTTTGTAAGCATTTGAAGTAAAAGTTTTGCATCGTTGTTCATATCTCCCGCGACTTAAACTTTTTTTGGATTCACCCGTTCATATATTTTGGAAACTCACTGTTTCTGTCGTTGGGGTATCTTCTTTGGGTAACATTTCCAGTAGTATCACTCCGCCAACATACGAGCAGGCTCAGTGATCTGGGTTCCAAGATGGCCTTATGTATAATCGAACCATCGCCAGATGATATTTGTCCTGAAACGGCGTAAATATGCACTTTTTGTACACGGCGCCAAAGGTACCGTTTGTAGGGTGAATGACTGCCTCTGACGTTTCGACCCGTAGCCTGCATCCCTTCTTTATTGTAACGCTGGCGTATTTCGCTTAGTGTCGACGTCGTTTGCATTGTCATTTGGGGTCATAGCCGCAGATGGTACGACGCTAACAGAAGTAATGCGTCAGCCTTATTTTGAAGGCAGGCACTGAGTTGCGGACCGCGACATACCGCGTGAGTTGGGCTAAACATTGGCGTGTTCTCTCACCACCTATTTCTCCACTATTCAGCCCACTTCAGTGATGTGATTCTCCGTCCAGTGCACTGCAGATGCTCAAATACCATGAAGTCGTAACCTGCTTAAATGCCATTCACTAGGATACTAGAAGCAATAGGGTGGTGCGTTTACGCCAAGTCATTCGGTATCACAAATTTAAACATACCCTGTTTTATTGTTTTGAAAGATGACGAAAGTGTCACCAAACGTTGACAGAGCACCAACAGCAATGAGATTCAGAAGATAACGCTTGTGTTGATAATGTTCATCTTCAATGGCCGCTTCTCCTTGCGGGTCGCGGAGGCAGTCGCATTAGGCAGAGCTTCCTTCGTTCTCGATCCTGTGCCAGAATCTGAGCTGCGGTAGAAGACATCTGAAGTCTGGAACAGACTCCTTCCATATATTTGCACCAAGTTAATCTTGGCCGTCCTTTGGGCCTTCTGCCGGTCGGATTCGCAAGGAACAGTTGCTTCGCCTTCCTTTCTGGAGACATTCGCAACATATGCTCAGACCATCGTACATGTGACTTCTCAATCTACAGAAGCGAGGCCGTATACTAAGTCTTTCCGGGATGTCTGTATTCCGGACCATTTCGAGACCGTAAGGCCAACGACTCGTCTCAGAAAGCTCTTTTCAGCCGCTTGTACCCGGGATCGAATCTTCTCAGTCATGGTCCACGACTCATGTCGGTAGGTAAGCATGGAGATTAAGATCGATTCGAATAACGAGATCTTAGTTTACAGACTGAGCTTTGCTTTAGTCACAGTGGGTCGGGCTAGTTCACGCAGAACGCCATTGGCTACTCCACATCGCCGGTCGATCTCTTCCTCAAACATTCCATCACCGGTGAGCACCACTCCCAAGTATTCAAACTTCTCCATCTGTTCCACTGCCTTTCCGTTAATCTGAAGAGAGCACCGGGCAGAAGAACGAGAAAGCATTAGGCTTTTCGTTTTAGATGCGATCCGGTCACGTCGTAATCGGCTACGAACCTTTCTTGGTCGCACTGTAGATCAGTTTCAGAAGAAGCCAATAAAACAAGATCGTCTGCAAACAGCACGCTTCTCGTCTACACATATCCTACACCGATACGCTCATCGCCTTCGCAGCTCTTGACTATTCTATCCATGTACAACACAAACAGGATAGGATACAGGGCGCAGCCTTAGCGGAGACTAGTGCGAACGTTGAATGTTTTCGACTTAACGCCATTAACTTTGACGCAACACCTGCTATCAGATAACAGTGACTGGATGACCCTTAGCAGCTGGCCATCGATCCCGTTTGCACGAAGGCATGTCCACAGACTGTTGCGTGGGATCCGGTTATCGGCTTTTTCTAGGTCAACAGAACACATATACACCGGGCGGGCGTACTCCCACCATTTGTCAACAATCTGGCCAGGGCAAATATATGGTCAGAGTTGCTTCGACTGGACCAAAGGCTACACTGCTCTTCTTGTACCTTGGAGTAAGTTATTCCGCGGCACCTCCTTTTCAGCACCTTTGCGTAGACTTTACTTGGGAGGCTCAGTAACATAATGCCCCTATAATTGGAGCACTCCTTGTGGTCTCCATTCTTGAGTAGAGGTACAACACCTCCCCTTCTCCAGTCTCTGGTGTCTTCTCCGTGTTCATCGCAGTGTGACAGACACGTGTAAGCCAACACATGCCTTGTTCGCCTAATGTCTTGAGCATTTCAAGGCGGATTTCATCAATTCTACGAGCTTTTCCATTTTTCAACCTTTTCTCAGCGCGTGTATTTTTATCTGCAGAGATAGTAATACCCGCTCCCTGCTGCTCTGCAGGCGAATCTTAGGGTTAAGGAATTGCCAAAGTGCTCTTTCCATCGCCAAAGAATGTCCTCATCCTTGGTAAGAGGGTGTCCAGACCTGTCCTTTAAGACTTTTAGACTGTCCTTTTTTTCACCTCGAGTCGGCG